CAAGGGTATGTCATGTTGTGTCTATATGTAGACGACATACTCATAGTTGGTAGCGATGACAAGATGGTCAAGTCTACCAAAGACATGTTAAACTCGCGATTTGACATGAAAGATATGGGTCTGGCTGAAGTAATTCTTGGAATTAAAATTGTGAGAAGACCTGGGGGTCTAGCACTGAGCCAATCCCATTATATTGATAAAATCCTTGACAAGTTCAATAAGGATGATGTTAGAGTAGCAAAGACGCCGTTGGACGTCAATGCTCACCTGGCTAAAAACCGAGGTTCCAGTAACTCTCAAATCGAGTATGCGAGAGTTATTGGAAGTTTGATATATCTAATGAGTTGCACTCGACCAGATTTAGCCTGTGCCATAAGTAAGCTGAGTAAATACACCAGCAATCCGAGTTATGAGCACTGGAAGGCTATTGTACGTGTGATGAGATACCTGCGGTATACACGTGACTATGGATTATGTTACTCGAGTTATCCACCAGTATTGGAAGGATACTCGGATGCGAATTGGATATCTGATAGTAAAGACTTGAAGTCCACAAGTGGATATGTCTTTACGCTAGCAGGTGCAGCAATATCTTGGAAATCCTCAAAGCAAACAGTGATTTCTAGGTCCACTATGGAGTCTGAGTTTATAGCTCTAGACAAATGTGGAGAGGAAGCTGAATGGCTACGCCACTTCCTAGAGGACATTCCAAGATGGGATAAACCGGTCCCACCAGTTTGCATCTATTGTGATTGTCAATTAGCAATAGGACGTGCAAAGAGTAATATGTATAATGGTAAGTCTAGACATATTCGTCGTAGACACAAAACCATTAGACAACTTCTCACAACTGGGATTATCACAATTGACTATGTGAAGTCAAAAGATAATCTGGCGGATCCGCTAACCAAAGGGTTAACAAATGAGTTGCATGAGAAGTTGGTGGAAGGAATGGGTCTGAAGCCCTTGTGCTAGGACAGTCCTATGAAGGAAAACCCAACCTGGCTGGTACCCAGGTTCAATGGGACAACCTACTTGTAGGATAAAGCGTGGTCACTGTGGGGGCAGTACCGGAACCTTCGGTCAGTCCCTTCTGTTCCTGCTGAAGACAGTGACTCCCGAAAATGATGAGGTTAGCATATAAATATGCTTTAATGATTCTTAACCAATAGACACGGTGGTCTAAGGGGAGTAATCGGGATACTCTTAAAGAATCACCTATGTAAGAGTGAAGTGTGGTCGCTTCAAACGGNGGACGTGTGTTCTCTTAAATGAGATAAATGTTTGACAATTTATACGCCAAAAATGGTAGAGGGTGAATGAGAAATTGATTCTCAGAGTTAACCCGTTAATAAAAGAATATGGTGAGGATTGCAATTTTTGCAATTTTACTGAACCAATCTTCTTTTATTAATTTTACGTATTGTTTAAAATTAGTCCATTTTTACGGAGTTAACTGGCCATTAATCTCCAATTATTCGGGACAAATTTTAAACGGAGCGTAGCGTAACGGACGTGTTAATGGCTAATTAATCACCATTAACACACCACTAATGCTATGATTAATTCAATGGGTTAATGGTGTAGGAGTTACAACTTTTTAAACTCCTTTATTATAAAAATCAAAGGCTCTCTCATTTGGTTTTGGTGTGACTTGCGTGAGAAACAGAGAAAGGAAAAAGTGAAAACATTTCTTTTGTTTTCTTTTAAAAGAGAGCTCTTGGTTTTCCGTCCAAATTTCCGGCCATCCCCTTTTAAGTTTTTGGTCGCCAACGTTCCTACGTTGTTCTTGTTCGTTGGTGTGTGGTTGGTCCGTACAATCTCCACACACGATAGCGGTTTTATCCTGGGAGGAGAGTGCCCACGTTTTTCCGGTATGGTAGGCGGGCACTACTACCTTAAGGACAGCTCCGGCGACTCCGCTGTCCTTCCACGGTGTTGTGTTTTTGCAGGTTCGGTTCATAAAGACCTCGCTGCATTCTATCCTAGTGCATAATGTCCTCGCAGCCCAGTGCATAATGTCCTCGCAGCCCTGTGCATAACGTCCTTGAATCGCTGTCCAGTGTTTAAAGACCTCACTGTCCAGTGCTTAAAGACCCTGCTGTCCAGTGCTTAACGCCCTCGTTGTCCAGTCCTTAATGTCCTCGTACAACAAGGCCATTTGAAGATATAGAAATTTATTTTCAACTTTATTTATTTTGTAATATTCTGAATAAATTATAAATTCAGAATTTTATTTATTGTTTATTTCCGGGGCCGTTCATCTTCCCCGTCTGTTGTAATCCGTACAAAAATTGTAACAATAATCATGTGAGTAATATATTTACTTTATTCTGAAAAATAAATTTCATTAAAATAAATTTAGAATCGACATAAATTTCTTTCGACCCCGTGCTTGGCACGGGTCAAAATGCTAGTTTTATTATAAATATAAAATTATAAAATAAAATTAATATATTTAAAAACTAATCAAAAGTTTTATAAAACTAGAGAAAAAGATTAAAGTCGGAATAAAACATTGAAAATATACCAAAATAGGAGTTCTATATTTTTATTTTCGAAATAATAGTTACAATCCATTTACATTGTCAATAATGACCATATAGATTACTAAAAATATTGTGAAATGTCCATGTAGATTGTCACATTAACAAAGTGCAATTTTCTATTTAGAAAAAAATATGAAACTTCTAATTTGATAGATTCTCTTTGTTTTACTCCTATTTAGGGTGATTTTCTTTAAAGTTTAAACATATAAACAATATTCTATCCGTCTAAAAATAATTTATCTCTGTTCAATTACGTACGGCATCTCGATAACTTATGTTTGTTTGCATGTTTCCATTGATTATTTGATAAAATAAAATATTCTTGTCACCTCTTGTTTTGTAAAAATTTTGATATAATTTTTAAATATATACTTTTTATTTTTTATTTCAATATAATTTATACATAAAATTGTTTTAAAAATAAAAAAAATTACACATTGATAAAAAAAAAGGTTATTTATTTTCGAATGTAAGTAACTGGAATATTGTTTTAGCATTTTAGTCTTTGTTAGTGCAACTCCATATACTTGCTCTATTGGTAAGATACCAATTACTATTCATATATATCGATCTCTTTTCATTTTTTTGAACTCATGATTTGATAAAAACAATTGTCATGTTTGGCAAGATATTCATTGGCAAAACACTAAAAATGCCTAGTTATCCAAGTTTAGCAACTACTCCCTCTGTTTTACAAAATTTTTCTTTTTTCTTTTTTTCATTCATCTCAAAAAATTTTTTTCATTTCTATTAAAAACTAAATTTTACTACTATTAATTCTTAATCTACCCATCACATCTAAAGGTATTTTCGAAAAATCAATATAAAAATATAATCAATTTAAATTTTTCAAGAGTCAAAACCAAAAAAATTTTGTGATATAGAAAGAATACGATTAAAATAAGGAAAAATATCTTTGATTGATTTTTTAAACACTAATAAATGAATATTATACTCGGTAGTAAACCTAGTTACAAGAACGCACATTGGAACCTGCAGAGCAATAGAGTAACGATGATTGGTACTCCGTATTTGGTAGCCGACAAAGTTTCTTCAGTATAAATATCACAGGACCCCAATGATTTCCGTCTACTCACTCGTATATTCATCCACCCATTCCCCCTTCCTGATCCATCGATTCTTATCTCTGTTTTTCAGGTATATTTCAACCAAATTCTCATTCGTTTTTCTCTTTTTTTCCTTAGATTTTCCCATGTTTTGGTGGTCTTTGCCAGAAAGGAATTCGCAAATTGTTTTTCGTTTCATAGATCTGGATGAAGAAATCTTCCTTCTCTTTTAAATGTTTTTATTTATTTGATCTTTAGGTTCCCAGCTGCTTAAATGATGTATCTGTGTGTTATCTGTGTTTTTCTCTATTGCAATATTCAATTTTGTTATCATAACCTTTTCCCTGTTTGATTGCCCCTCCTGATTCATGATTTAATTCATAAATCCAATCATCATGTGATTTCTGCATATATGTTTTCAGTTCTATTGAAGAACTAATTGCTCATATTTTTCTTCAATGGCATCAAACCTATGCGCTGATCATATTTTTTTTATTAAATCATGTTCATGGGATGTGCTTTTTGTCGAACCATATTGTTTCTTTCTCAATGCCTTATGTAGATCCATTTGATGACTCCTATACTATGTTTCAGGTGAACTATATCCTGTTTTGCTTCTAAGGTCTTTAAGGTAGCATTTGATTGGTTCCATTATAAAGGACAGGGAATGCAGAAAGATGTGCTTTCCCGCTAGGAAGTGTTTGTGCAAGTTTGGCGAGGTTAGAGCTCCATTTGAGCCTTCCTCAAATACCCTTGATGAGATTGGTATAGCAATCTTCCCCCGCCTTGGATTCTTCCACCAAATCTCACCTTTTCCTTGTAAAGATTTTGGGGGTCAAGTTGTGTCTTTCCACGATCTCTGTGAAGACGGTTAAACCTCTGAAAAGTAGTTTAGAGTTTGGTTTTGGGCAGAATTGAGATGGAGAGTAAAGGGGGGAGTGTACTGATGGAAAGGTATGAGTTAGGGAAACTGTTAGGGCAGGGGACCTTTGCCAAGGTCTACCATGCGAGGAATCTGAAAACCGGGACCAGCGTGGCCATCAAAATCATTGACAAGGAGAAGATCTTCAAGGGTGGGATGATGGAACAAATCACCAGGGAGATTTCTGTGATGAAAATGGTCAGGCATCCAAACATAGTCCAGCTGTACGAGGTCATGGCCAGCAAGACAAAGATTTACTTTGTCATGGAATATGTTAAAGGCGGCGAGCTGTTTGACAAGGTGGCTAAAGGGAAGATGAAGAGTGACATGGCGAGGAAATATTTCCAGCAGCTGATTAGCGCGGTCGACTTTTGTCACAGTAGAGGCGTTTATCACAGGGATCTGAAACCAGAGAACCTTCTCCTGGATGAAGATGGAAATCTCAAGATCACTGACTTTGGTTTGAGTGCTCTATCAGAATCTAAGCGCCAAGACGGCTTGCTTCATACCATATGTGGGACCCCTGCCTATGTTTCTCCGGAAGTGATTAACCGACTAGGCTACGATGGAGCCAAAGCTGATATTTGGTCTTGTGGGGTCATCTTGTACGTTCTCCTGTCCGGGCATCTCCCATTCCAAGACCAGAACCTGATGGAGATGTACAGGAAGATATGCGAGGCCGAGTTTAAGTACCCAAAGTGGTTCTCTTCGAATGCTTGCAAGCTGATTGCAAAAATATTGGATCCGAACCCGAACACGCGGATCTCAATCTCCAAAATAATGGGAAATTGCTGGTTCCGGAAGGGCTTGCATCCCAAAACATCGAAATCAAGTGAGGACATGAAAGAGGAAGGGGCAGAAGAAGACGCAAAGAAGCTAACAAACATGAACGCGTTTGACATTATTTCTTACTCGTCAGGGTTTGACTTGTCGGGGTTGTTTGAGGTGGGAAGAATGGGGGACGAGAAGAGAGAGTCGAGGTTCACATCCACGCAACCTGCAAAAACCATCATCTCAAAGCTAGAAGACATAGCCAAGCAGCTTAAACTGAAAGTTACAAAGAAGGAAGGGGGTTTTTTGAAATTAGAGGGATCAAAACTGGGAAGGAAAGGGGTTTTGTCCATTGATGCTGAAATCTTTGAAGTGACACCGGCCTTTCACATGGTCGAGATGAAGAAGTCCGATGGGGACACGCTCGAGTACAAGAAGATGATGAAGCACGAAATAAGGCCGGCATTGAAAGACATCGCCTGGGTTTGGCAAGGCGATGAGCTCAAAGGTGATTGTCCCGACTTGAACACTAATAATTCTTCTCCCCCTTGCATTGGTTGTTGATCTATCAAGTTAAATGGCTGACTATGTTTAACCTTTCTATGTTTAGTGCTTCCCAATTCTTTTGTCACTGGACTATGCTTTAAATTCACTAATGGTCATTATGGTCTTGTATGGAACATGAGGTTTGGGCCTTGACTCTGTAATGGTTCTTTTTGTCTTCATTTCATTCTCTCTGCTTAGTTGAGTGACAAGCCCCATGAATTCAAGTACAGAAACCAAGATTTTTTTTTCTTGTTTGAAGTAGAAGCTTAAGTACAGTTAAATCTGCCTAACAACTATAAAGAGTTCAAGTAAATGATCTGCAAGTACAATGATATAGGAACGATAGTTCACCTTCTTGCATAAATAATTCGTCCTTTTGTTACAAATGGTTTTCCTCTTTTTTGTATTCTGTCTGCACCAACCCTTTGAAAAAAAAACAAATACTACCGTGTACATTTTAATGTAAGAAGTATGTTCATTTAAACACTTTTTTAAATAGCTTTTTTCAATTTTTTCCCGTTGTTTTCAATTTCTTTTAACTTTATTTTGATTTCTTCCAACTTTTTTCTCTTTCTTCGTATTCCCTCAAACTCTCAATTCTGTTTTTCCAACTCAAAAGAATTGGCCCTTAGAATTTTAGGGATTACAAATGAAAGGTTTGACCATTGGAAGTAGCGATGGTAATAGGTGGCTACGGCGGAAGGCAACGACGGCCTAGTTCTTTGCTTCATTGGTTTCATTTTTCTTCGTCCAAGAAATACTAGAGTAGAATCTTCCGTTGGTCAAAGAAGTCTTAAACCTATCTCTGAACATATATACTCATAAGTATTTTTACGTAAGCAGTTATTGCCTATATTATATTTGATGTGAAAATAGTCACACTTAGAGGAGTTGCTGTTGGTCACCACTTGCAACACTTGACTCTCTTTCGAAGGTCTTGAGTTTGAATCTCAAGATTAGCTCTTTGCTCGAATCAAAGTAGACGAGATAGAGAATTTTTTTCATTAGTGAACTTGTAGCCCTCAACATTAGCTCTTTGCTCGAATCAATTGTGGAAATCTCATTTCCAGCGGTAGTGGCATCAGTGGCCGTCCACATCTCCTTATATCCGCCTCACGCTCGAGCTAAATGCATACCGTACAAAATCCTCTGAAATTTGAGTGACATCAAACACCATACAAATTTTTGGCATTAGCTGAGTTTGATTCATACACCTAATGATCCTAAATGAGAGGGATTAATTTAGAAAGAAATTGAAGGATGAATCTACCCCCTTCAAATCCCTTTCTTAGCATCTACCTTCAAAACAAAGATATATGGGATTTGCAGAATTTGCTCCCTCCCTCTCTTTCTTGTCCCTTCCCTTCATATCCCTCAATCCAAACATTGAAATGGTGTGTTTGAATTGTAGGGAATGAGAAAAAAGAAAAGTGAATGAATGGAAGAAGACATTTGATCCTTTTTATATTAGAAGTGTTTGGAGTTGAGATGAGATATTTAGAGAATACTAACTCTTTCTTAGACCGTCCGCAATGCATCACAATGCATTTCTCCGTCCGCAATGCATCACAATGCAACTCTCGTGATCCTAGCTAGGGGTGTTCATCGGTCCAAGACCGGACCGAAGATCGAATTGATGAAAATCACGGACCGAAGACCGGACCTAAATCTATTTGGGTTTGGACCGCACCGGACCGAAATATTTAGGACCGAACCGGTCCAGACTGATTGGACCAAATAAAAATGTTTTTTTTTAAATTTTTTGATCAATTAAATATATTTTAGGTTTTGATGGTTAGTCTTTCAAAAAAAATATTGTACCTTACAAATCGAAAAAAAAGACAACCTAAAAGTAAATACACAACATGTACTACTTCTATGTAGAATAATAAAAACTAACGTGGAACTTTTTTTGAACTTTTTTTTAAAAAAAATTCTTAACAAAAACTTTTTTATTGATATAAATTAAAATATCTATTCAAGTAATGAAGTAAAACATCAAAGTGTATTATGGAACTTAAAAAATAGAGTATACGTATTTAGGTCTTTTAGGTCCAATATGATCATTAGATCCATTTCGGTCTAATCGGTACGAACCTAAATCATTTATGGTTTGGACCGAACCGAACCGAAACCTGAACACCTAAATTTTTGGATCGAAGACTGACCCAAAATTCATTCAATCCGGGTTTGGTCTGGACCGAATAGTCCGGTTTGGTCTGAACCAAACGGTCCAATTCAGTCGATTTTTCGGTCCAGACCTAAACGTGAACACATCTAATCCTAGCTGGGATCGCCATGCTGGCGTGAGGGAAGAGCGAACACTACTCCTGAGTTGCGTGAGAGGATGTCGTGAATGACATCATGACCACAACTACGGAAGGGAAGCATTTCTTTTGTTTTTTTGTTTTTTTTTGTTTTCAATAATTTTTTGTACTCTGATATTTAGTCATAAATAATATACTATTGGAAATCTTTTCACAAAATCTATCCAACATAATATTACATATAAAATTTTGATGTTACGTCTCACTTATATTTATTGCTCAAACACTTCAAAATTTAACGAATTGTGTAATATTATTATTATTTTTGTAACAAAACACATTTTAAATTTAAATTGGTATATCTTGTTTTTCCCTATTAAATTCAACTATTTTATGTTTGTTATGGTATTAAAAAAGTAAAAGAAAAGAGGTATATTTGAAGAGAATATATACGTGAGACAAAAAATGGTGTAACAAGGGACTTTGAGTCAGCCTAAAACAACGTTGGAGAGGTCACCGAAGATGAACGAATTGTAAGACACACCCAAAACGAATTGTAAGACACACCCAAATTCGTAGTTGGGAAATGTACAACAACAGTAGAGCGGATTTAGTAGAACACCTTTGGAAAAATCAAAATTTAAATTAGTGCTACGTGTATTATTTTTTTCTTTAATGTACTTCATGTTTTATTAATTTAATTATTTTGTGTACTTTTTTTAATTAATGTAATTTATGAATTTTTCAATGAACTTTTTCATTTAATTGTTCTAATAAAAAAATGAATAAAAAACTAATCCAAACGGGAAAAATTCAATAACGAAAGATAAATTTAAATTAATTTATATTATGATTTTTATAAAAGATACGAAGTAAAATTTAATTTGATTAGAAATGGGTAATATTTAAAAAGATAAAAGTATAATCATTATCGTGAATGTGAGACATTATAAGTGTGAAATGAGTGAGATAGTGAGTATTGTCAGCAATTATGTGACTGCTAATTAACCCGATTTAGACTGAGCGGAGGTGAAGCAATACAGACAGCCTTATTAAATACTTTTACATTAAAATATATCTCGTCTCTTTATTTTCCATTCAATCCAAACAAAAGATATCCTTAATTATTTATTATTTCATCTCTCCAAAATTTTTAATCCAAATATTATATCATCATCTTTCTTCCTCTCATCTATAATCCTCTTTTTTTCTTTTCTTTATTAAATTTGGTTTCGGCATGGGTAGCTTAATTGGACCAAGAAAGGAAATCAAACTCGTTGATTTTAGAGTGAATCTCGACAGTATGAAAATTTTATTATTTGTAATAAATCTTTGTGCGCACCAGACATGGAACAACTTCTCTAAAGATCAGATTAAAATTATAGCATGATTTATCTTTCTCATAATTATGTCGCATTTCTGGGTGGGGTACCCACCATGGCGTTCCACCTTTCTTGTTTTTATTAAATTTGGTCCCTGCAACCATAAATTCCCTAAAAGTGAAGTTACATAAAGACGGAGGACGCTTAATTAGTTGAGTACTCCTTATTCCTTAATAAGACCAAATCTTTCCTGTTTCACTGAATTTCGATCTTTCCATTCTGGGGGAGGCCAATTTTCACTGCTTCATTCATTAATTATGGTGGTCGCTTCATATGAATCCTTCCCGTCAAGAATAAGACAGCCGCCGGCGGGATCCGTCCCCGCCCAAAGCCTCTCCGACCGCCGGCTCCTACAGACGCTTCTCGCAATTTCGCTGGAAATCTCCTCGGCCCAGCCAATTCGTTATCTCATAAAGAAAAACACTTGCTCGATGATCAGAAGGTCAAAGCTGATGAGCCTTCTCTTCGAAGAGCTTCTCCGGTGTCCGGCAACGTCGTTCCAGCCGACGGCCGTGTTGTGCTTCGAAGAGCTGTACATAGCTCTGCAGAGGGTGAAGGCGTTGATGGAAAATTGCCGGAACTCGAGCAAGATGTGGCTGCTGATGCGGATCGAGCCGATCTCCAACTCCTTTCACGAACTCGCCGTCGAATTATCGACGGTGTTCGACATTCTTCCGGCGAAGGATTTGAGTTTAAGCGAAGATTTGGTTGAGCTGATCTGTCTCATCCGGAAACAGAGCTCCGAGAAGGACGCTTACGTGGATTCCGCCGATAAATCTCTCCTAGAAGACGTTCTTCGTATCCTGGACGGAATCAAACGGAAAATTCCCCCGGAGCACCAAAATCTCGACGAGATTTTCCATAAATTGACTCTCATGGATTCCACTAGTTGCAGAGATGAGATCAAAAGTTTGGAAGAAGAGATTCAGAGTCAATCGGACGGCAAATCGAAATCCGATATCCTCGCCTTGATCAGCCTGGTCCGCTACGCGAAATGCGTATTGTACGGCGCTTCTACGCCCAGAAACGACGGAAGGCGGCGGAAGACGACGGCGGACGTCACTGTCCCGGCGGACTTCCGGTGTCCGATCTCTCTCGATTTGATGAGGGATCCTGTGGTGGTGTCCACGGGACAGACGTACGACCGTTCCTCTATTTCTCTTTGGATCCAATCCGGTCACAACACGTGTCCCAAGACGGGTCAAACATTGACCGGCGGCCAGCTCATTCCAAACGTGGCTTTGAAGAGGTTGATAGCTATGTGGTGCAGAGAACAGAAAATCCAGTTTGACTTAACGGAGTCCCACGTTACAACTGACGGAGCCGTGACCAACAAGGCCGCGTTGGAGGCCACCAAGATGACGGTGTCGTTTCTCGTCCACAACTTGAAGGCCTCCCGGTCGGTTGAAACCGCGAACCGGACGGTTCATGAGCTTCGGGTTTTGGCAAAGACTGATTCCGACAGCCGAGCCTGCATCGCCGAAGCTGGGGCTCTGCCGTTGCTCGTCAAATTCTTAGGCTCGGGGCACCTCAGCCTACAAGTTAACGCCGTCACGGCGATTCTCAACCTCTCTATCCTCGACGCGAATAAGGAGAGGATAATGGAGACTGACGGAGTTCTTAACGGCGTGATTGAGGTGCTGAGGTCCGGCGCCACCTGGGAGGCGAAGGGGAACGCGGCGGCCACCGTCTTCAGCCTGACCGGCGTTAGCGCGTACAGGAAGTGCCTGGGGAGGAAGACGCGCGTCGTGAAGGGATTGATCGGCCTGGCGCGTGAGGGTCCCACGGATTCCAAGCGGGACGCCATGGTGGCAATTTTGAATTTGGCGGGGGACAGGGAGGCGGTGGGAAAGCTGATAGAAGGAGGCGTGGTGGAGATGGCGGCGGAGGCAATGGACGAACTGCCAGAGGAGGCTGCGACCTTGCTCGAAGCAGTAGTGAAAAGGGGCGGACTGGCGGCTGTCGCGGCGGCGTTCCCGGTCGTCAAGAGACTGACGGGGTTACTGCGGGAGGGAACGGAGAGGGTACGTGAAAGTGCGGCAGCGACGCTGGTGAACATGTGCCGGAAAGGAGGGTCGGAGGTGGCGGCGGAACTTGCGGCGGTGCAGGGAACGGAGCGGGTGATTTGGGAAATGATGAGACAGGGGACGGGAAGAGGGCGGAGGAAAGCGGCGACATTGTTGAGGATACTAATAAGATGGGCAGCCGGCGGCGGCGGGAACGAGCATTCAAATGGCGCCACAGCAATAGTATTGCCAGGGTAAACCCAACCTGCTTTGCATTATCAATCAATTGAAAAAATTATTCTTTTGAATCTAAAAACTACCGTACAAATTGAACCACACAAGCAAAAATGTGCTAAGAAATGTTCAATCTTTGTCAACTGTACAAAATTGTTACTGTAATATAATGGTGTTCAATAAAATAGGAGAAACGTAATTTTGCCCTGTTCATGCATGCATCTTACTTCTTCTGTCCACCATAAATCTTCCCAGACACTATTTACATGGTCAAATTTTACACACTTTGTTTGGTTATTTTTACTAGTCATTTCGTAAAATAATATAGTCTTGTCACCTCTAGTTTTGTAGAACTTTTCATGTAGTTTATTACGAAGTACTATTTAAATTTTACTCCTATTATCAATTAAATTTAATTAAAAATAAAGTCGGTCAAACTTCATAACGCGTAATGGGAAGATCTTAAGTGGACGGAGGGAGTAATTAATTACTCAAGTCAATATGATTATCTCACCATAGTGGCCCTTTGATTAAGAGAGGGTTACACACTTACACTAGCACTTAATTACTAGCTAACATAATACTGCAAATATAATTAAAATTCAACCCCAAAGAATAGGATCTAGTATGGGTAGCCAACACTCTCCTCTCTATTAAAAAAAGGTAAGGGCAACTTTTACTCCGTGTTATTTAAAAGTTTAATGTACTCTCTCCGTCCCGCTATATTTGTCCACTTTTGACTTTTGGTTCATCTAAGCACTTTGACTCATCAAATTCTTTCAATGTGTAAGCCTACACATAGTCATGTGTGATCTTGTTTGATTTGTCTTAACATATAAATTATTACGGAATAATATATAATTTCTATAATTTTTTAATATACAAATTACAAGATAAAATGGATTAAAGAAGTGTATTGGATGATGTGTAAAAATGAAAGTGTACAAATACTCTGGGACGGAGGTAGTAGCTTTTACTAATCCATGGTTGTTTTTTACAAATAAAATTAAAACAAGAGCATGAGTACTTTGTCTTGTATACTTTCTAATCCCAAAAATTGTTCTAATTTCTTTTTTAATTTGTGGAAAAATAGAAACTTCACCGCATATAGGGACAAAGCTAAATTCTTTTTTTATCCAAAATTAGTTTTTTTATACTTGTATATTTATTTGAGTAATTATTCAACTAAATGATTTTTTAACACTTACTTTTTTCTAACATTTTCTAACTCTTTTCGAATTTTTCCAACTCCTATTTCTTTCAATTTTTTTTAGTTTTATTGCAACATCTAACTTTGTTTTTATAATCCAAACCAATAGACTTAAAAACACTATCCGACAATAACATCTATTTTCTATATTTCGAAATTAATAAATTTGCACCATTAATAAATAATATAAAAGTTTTCATAAAAAATACAGAGTAAAAAATTTAAATGAATAAAGCTAGGGGTACACCAAAATGGTGTACTCCATTTGTATATCAGGCAAACGCAGACACTAAATGTTTGTGATCACAGACGTTGAGTGTATGTGTTTGCCTGGTGTATAAATGGGCCACACCATTTTGGTGTACCCTTTACATGACCCATTTAAAATGCCTACACCAATTGAAATACTCCCTTCGTTCTAAAATGTTCTTTCCGTTTCTGTTTATGAAATTTGACCAACATTATTTTTAAATTCAATTTATTTGATTGTAGGCGTAAAATTAAAAAAATAAAATTTATATATTTAGAAAGTACATCTAAAGTTTTACAAAACAAGAATAGGTAAAGAAAGTAATTAAAGTTTGACTATTTGAATATTAATTGAGAACCTCATTTATTACACATGTGTAAGATTTAGACTGAACTTTGTTTGATACTCCCTCAGCTCACAATGATTTAGATTGAATGTGGGCAATGTATGACCAAAGCAGGTAAGCATGCATTGAGACGTGATTTGATCAAGATTTTATACAGTAATAATTAATCAATTAGCCTTATCCAAAGGAAAATGTTAGGGGTACACCAAAAGTGTACCCCAAATATCTCCCACCCCCTCCATCACCACAAAAAAAGCATGTAAATTTCAAAAAAAAAATAAAAATTAAAAATAAAATAAAATGAGTGGTAAAGAGACATGTGATGTACATTTGTGGTATACTTTTGGTGTACCCCTAGCATCACCCTTATCCAAATACTACGTATAAAGTTTGTTTACCAAGATTTTGTTTGTGTATTCTAATAAGCCACCGCTAGCGTGTAAAGGTGGCTGCCTAGCTGTGCCACCAATGCCTTGATGATAGTGCCTAATGATGCTGTGTTAAGTTTTTTTTTTTATTTCTTTTCAATATTAATACCCCCTCCTCCCAAAATAAATATTTCCTGTACAATTTTTTTTAAAATAATTTTCCTTCATAAAAATAATTTTGAATATATAAATGCTACTTTAAAAATTTGATATATCAAAATTACGTCTTAAAATAAACTCATTTCTACTCGAATTAAATTTACATTCTAACTAAAATGCAATTTTCCAGTAGTCAACTTTTGTAAAGTTTGACAACAAAATCAATTAAACCGGGAAAAAATATGATTGAGATAGAGGGAGCAACAACACTAGAAGCAACAACAATAATAACAAGTGAAATTTGCACTAAATAGGACTAAAACATAATGACTTTCTAATGTAGGAATTAAACTTTTTTATTCCTTAAATAGGACTTAATAATGACCTAGTGGAAAGAATAATGTCCAGTAATGATGGACATTTAGTTGAATAATGACTACTTGATAATGACCAAAGGTCCTACATTGGGAAATAAAAGCATATGGTCCTATATTGGGAAAGTCATTATGTTTTAGTCTTATTTAGGTAAATTTCTCTAATAACAACAGCACTACACCACCACTAGCAACATCAACAATAATAACAACAACAATAACGACAACAACACAATCATTTTAATAATAACAATAATAATAGAGCAACACACACATGGATACCATAGCGATCTGATCTCGCAAAGAGATCAGATTGCCCCTTGAATTAATGGCTTCATAATCATTTTTAGCCGCCGCCGGGCGCCGTTGAGGAAGGCTCAACTCCGGCACTACTTTCATTCGGAAAATGTATTCAGATAAGACGGAGTCCGCCGCGGAACGACCACCTTTGCCCGTCGGAACCGGAGAAGGCGGTTGCGACACTTGCATGATAATAGTATCAAGAAAGCTAAAGATGTGTTGATTGTAGTTTAATTATATCTTTAAAAGAAAGCTAAGTGTTTGATGCATTTATTTATGCCGTCCTAGTTAGCACCGTACAATATAACCTGCCTTCATTATTTTTGGGTGTGAAATAGATTTTATATTCCATGCAGTTGGGAACCCTTTTTTTCCGCCAATATAGAATAATTTAGACTAAAACTCAATATACAAAGTACTGCAAGGCCTTGTTTGGAAACAATGTTTTCAATGAGCGTTAGCATTTTAAATAAAAGTTTTAATGATGTAGATTAATTTTGAATAAGCTAAAGATTATCGTTGGATCACTGTTTCAAAACACTAACGCTAATGCCAAGCGGGGCCGAAGTAGATTGTAAATAAACCATTCCAATATGACCAACAGTAAAATCTAAATGAGAACTAAACACCATTAGAAAAAAAAGAGAAACTTTGCAAATTTTAGAATAAATATTTGTTTGGTGATTCTGCTGATGAGTTAAGTATAATTGTTCATAAGAATTTCAAAAGAATATTTCGTTGGAGATACCTTGTGGACAGTAAATAAATGCAAAATATATATTTTCATCTGTGCATTTGTCAAATTATAGTTTTACCAATCAAATTGGCTAAATTTTAATTATTAATATAATTAAGTAGACTATGATATCATTAGTACTGAGTAAATTACATATACTGAGAGAACAGTGAAAGCCAGGTCACAAATCACAACTCAACATTATATTAATAATAATAATAATAAGGGCCTCGTAAGTACAGTTGGTAATGGAGAAACAAAAAACCTCTGTAAAAAAAATTAATATTAAAAAAAATCCTATACAAGGCAACTTACATGACAAACTAATGGCAAAGCAGAAGCTTTGCTGGCAAAACATATTCTGAATTAGTACACAATGTACAAAGAGATTCAAATGACTGGCATTACAGAAACGGAGAAACCGCGCCAAACATATGTATAGTGTTTTTGTGTTTTTGTGAAATCGTCCACTCGCCCACCACCCGTATTCAGACAGATAATGGAGGGAAATCGTCGTCATCTTTGAGGTGGTAAGCAGATTTAACCGGAGAAGGAGAAGCCCTTTGTGTCCAAAACAAAATAATGTCAGAATTATTAGCCTCTGATTTAAAAACAGTTTCTTCTCACTTGACCGTGATTTTTTATAATAAAAAAAAACAAGAATTATAGAGTTGTTGATCAGAGATGTCTCGTACCTATCGGTGTCCCTACTTAAATTAGGATTTGATGATTGTTGTTGGCTTGGCAAAGAGAAGTGCTTGCGTTGCTTGCTTCGTTCTGATGAGGGCGAGAGCGGGGGAACATGGCCCACTGTGCCGAACTCAATGACTGGGTCAGTGCCATTTGTACTGTTTGGACAATACCCGTTGCCACCAGGGGAGAACGACTGGTTGTGGACTTCAAAACAATCAACACCAGCTGATTGTGATTGTGGTGGTGGTAGCTCATGCCAGTCTCTGTCAAATGTTGCATTCCACCCATTGGCTAGGTGAGCAGACCTCATGGCAGGTGCTGGACTCCTAACTGAAGGCAGGGGTGGCAGCCTGTGACCTTGTAAGCATCGGCTCTGCAAAAATGGGAGATTGGGGTACAGAGGGGATTTGAGATTTAATGCTAAAATGTTGGCTCTGCAGAGAATAATAATAATAATAATGGATCCCAATTTTCTCATGCCTTTTTTTTGTCTGTCACAATTCCATTTCTATTTATAGAGAGCATTATGTATTTCACATTGTTTCTTGGGACATGCATAGATCTCAATCACACAATTTATTTACTTTCTTAATATCCGTCTCAAGACAAACTAGACACACAATGAAATGGGATGGAAGGAGCAATGGAGAGTATGTATATCGCGCATACCATGTTCGGGAAGTATGTTCCGGTTCCTCGGGCCTTGTGCATCTCACCAAAAGCAATGTTTGGAGGTAAAGGGGGGCTTAAGGTATAAAATGCTTGGGTTGGAACGCCGCCATTAGAAAAGCCCGGTCTGTTTGAAACACCACCATTAGGGTTTGGAACACCGCCGTTAGAAAAGCCATTCCTTTGGAAATTTGGCAGGGGTTGGGGATTCCATGACTTGATTTGAAATGGATTGATTGGGGGTGGGGGTGGGGGTGGAATCAGCATTGTGGGCACAATTGAGGTACACTCGTAACACCATCGACCATATTGCAAGCAACTTAACTGATGCTCGTAATCACCACTAAGGTCCAACAGAGAATTCGCATGTTGCAAACCCTTCTCATCATTAGATTTTGGTTGTAAATCAGACTCGTGGTTGTTTTCGTGTCCATCGAACTGCTTCTCCAAGTTGCCTATATTCACCTCTCCATTACAAGTGAGGATGGGATGTTTGGATGAGCCATTACACAATTCAAGGTCTTGTGTCTTTGAGGTAGCTAGTTCCGTAGCATCTCCACAAAGGCGATGAACCAATAGATTCTGTTTTACAGTCTCCGATGTATGTTTATATGGACACGCTGCATCTCTTGGTGTGCCTTCTTCATCTCTGGCTTCTTTGTCTGATGATCCATAAGAAGGATCCAAATTATAGTTTTTTGTGCTGGTGTCAGTATGATTACCAGATTGCCCTCTTGAACTGATCTCATCAAATTGAGATAAATCAATCTCTGAAATGGGATTAGGATCTTGAACATCTGGCCTCTGTCCGTTTCCATGTCGACCTAAAGTGTTGGAAAAGAAATTATGAACATCGTCAACAATGCTGTCATCATCTGACAGCAAAAGTATTCTCCCAAGCTTCCTGGCACCATATGTGAATGCACTCCGTATTCTATAGTAATTTCCTGCACAAAGCGACTCTTTCGAAATCAAAACAAAACAGGCTATGGAAATGTGTTGAAGAGTAAAAAACACAACTAAAGATTGATTAAGGGAGAGCAAACAACTAAAAATTCTGGAATCATAATAAATCAGTGCACCAGAATAGAAATACAAATTGCATTACCTTTACTCACACTACGGCCAAGATTATTGTTCTCCTTAAGAGGGTCAACTATATTAAGATGCTTTTGTTGAAAGGTTCTGGAGTTCATGTCATACCCTCTCGAAGAAACAGAAAACATGTTGGCACAATATCTAAGAAACTCACTGTCGAGCAGTAACTCGCCACCATCATTTTCCGGAACCTCAACTGGAAAAGGGCAGGAATAAATAAAAGTGATACACTGATGTAAAGCAGCATTTACATACGCCAAAGGTAGAGAAGAGGTAGCTCACCCACAAGTTCTGGCAAAGATGATATGCGGACAGGACCAGATAAACAAATACAATAATTCTCCCAGTCAAATTTGCCAAAGTAGTCCAAAAACTTGTAGAGAACCTAAAGATTCAGCAATTAAAATCATTAGAGCCACTAAATGTAGCAAAGAATGTTGGATATGCAATTGGGTGTTCAACAGAATGTTTCTGGAAGTTCAACAATTCAGAACTTATCTGTTACAACTTATGGTGTCAAGGAAACAGCCTCTCTATCTTTCATAGGGAAACTGTGTGTGTTGTTTTTGTTCAGTCAAGTGGTTTACTATTTACATAAAACTATAACTACCCCTAGAGTAAGGTTTGATTTTCACATATTGCATGGCTTGGGTTTGTACTTTAATTCCCCAAAATATCTCCATCCCGTTAAAAGGGGAAAAAAGTATATCTATTTATATTTTTTTTATTTAACTAGATCTATCACATTTAACTTTTTGTGATTATTTTTGGCGAATTACATGATTGGAATGACCACAAAAAATTGAGAAATGAGTTGTAGATGGAGTAAAATGTTTGCAAGTAGGCAAGTATGATAGAAAACAAAGTTTCAAACTTAAACAAGCAAAATATTGCTTGTAGAAGCTATGATCATGTGTGCATATCACATTTATGTAGGTTTGTGTGTGTATTGCTTTTGTGGGTGGTCCAAAATTTTACAATTCAACGAATTGATATAATCAACTTAAATAGTCAGCACACACGTGGTCATGTTCCATGACGTACATGTATTTTTTAGTGATTTAACATTAATCTCATAACGAAATGCTGCTATGACTATTTATGATGTTTTCAGAGAAAGTGAGACAAATATGATGATGAACGTGTTAAAATTTCATCATGGCTTATGCCACTATGCTTTTAACCTATAGTATAAACTATTTTTTTAAATAATTAATTGGCATTACAAATTGCATGTCACCAACCTCAACATTGTTGGGAGTTGGGAGCCATTGAGGTGATATGTGATGAAGTTAATAATATGGTTCAAAAATTTGAAAGGATTTCTGTGCTTTCTTGGAACAACCTAAAATTTCAAACATATGCAGATTAAGGATATGCCAAGCATCTATGGAAACTTACTGCTAAAGGACCATCCAGCACGGAGTGAAATAGATTGAAGATATATAAAACAAGAGTCTCCAAAGCATAAGTTGAAATCAAGCCATGATGAGCGCCAAGGATTCGACTTTCATAATAGCACCAGGCTTTGATTAAAATAATACTGCGTTTAAATAGGTGATCTTTGCCAATGAGTTGATCGACCTGGAAAACGAGCAGAGCTGTGAATGGCAAATTCAAGAATGCTGTCATGGGCATGAGTTGATCACAAATGTGAGAACATAAATTTTATTCATCTAATGAACCGATTTGTGTAGTTCCATATTTATAGCTGAATACAATAACACCAAGATAACATGAGGGATGGCTTAAATTGAAGTTACAAGGAAATTTCATATTCTAGGTGTTGTCTTGCTTTTCCTAGAGCTAGTCTATTTTCACAATGAAAAATAGGAACTGATCCCATAAATGACTGTTAGCACCCACCTCCTAAAAGATCTTGAATAGTAAATCTTAAAAACAAAGCAAAAGGAAACAGATGCAAGGATTATTTCACTCATGAAATTCATTTCATCTAGTCTACTAAGCCAAATCCTAGTAATCTGGACTTCTGGAGCATAGTGTATAACTTCAAATTTGATTATAATAACGAAAGAAAATGGATCTCTAAACTATCTGCGCTTCTTTAATTAATGAAGTAGCAGTTCGTCAAGCAATGCAACTTTTGACGTTGAGCCGGGGGTCTCTTTGGAAACAGCCTCTCTACTTTCGAGTAGGGGCAAGGTCTGCGTACACACACCCTCCCCAGACCCTACTCTTGTGGGATTTAACTGGGTTGTTGTTGTTGTTGTTGTTGTTGTAACGAAAGAAAAAAATCCATCCCAATTTCAAGGGACGAGCATACCTTTTCAAGAAAGCACAGTGTACAGAGGCCGCCTATTTGATTAATAGAGATGTCAACAACAATATTTTGTACTATACACTTCACAAGCTTGACCTTCAATAAGAAAGCAAAGCAACATGATTCAGGAAAGAACTGAATTTAAGCTTTAAAATAACTATTAAAGATCAAGATATAAACTGTGAGCTAGGAGCTAGCAATCACACACTCCATCAAAATTATTTACTGCCATATGCCTATATTCTTCAAAGATAGTAAATACAGAGTATATCATTCAGGTCAATAGGTCAAATTCATGTTTCGCCTCCCTTTTCTTGCACAGTCGCCTGAAATAATGCAGACTAACTTGCCAAGAGGAATTTAACTTCGAACAAGAATAGAACTACAGTTCAAAGGAACAGATCGAAGTAGTATCACATGCTATTATGGTTCCAGAAGTTAACGAGTTGCGGCAGACTCACCCTTCAGAATTTTCTGAATCAATTTCCTTATTGATACAATTGAAAAATATATATTAACAGTTATGAAGATGACATTAACACAATTAACCAGATAACAGGTGAAACTTAAACAGAAATTTCAGCAAGGACCTCATGTGCATAAACCACAACAAGCATGTGCCATTAAGCAAACAACCTTAAGTATTATACATCAAAGACAGATCAAAACCTCTGCTCGAATAAGCTGGACATCCTTTACGGTGAATTCTGCATCATCATTTTGATCCTCTCCTTCAAGAACTGATACCATATCATTGACCAAAGCATCCTCTACCATCAGATTACCAAAAGCAGTCAAATCAATGTCACCATCAGGAAGATAGGTCTTTAGTGGTACAGATCCATATGAGAATACCTGTCATAAGTATATTACAAATTAATCATGACTTCTCCATTTTTCTTTTCCTTTCCTTTTTTATGTATAGGTACTCCCTTTAAAACACAGGTGAGGGTGCGCCGACCGGGAGGCCTTTATATATATGTATGAAAATATTTATATGTCCTTATATGTTTAAGGACACACATTTACACACATGCATACTGAAACAGTCTGGAACAGAACACCAAAATGCTCTGGTACAAAAATCTTGTTCCAATGGTTAATTCAAAACAGTATTGATAACCTTTTATCATACTCCGCACTACTACCAATCACATTAGTATTGTTCTTCAATATACGCTTAGTGGGTAAGGTCATGTCAAATTGCAAGTGCAATCTTAAAATTCAAACCACACTGTCTACTCCAAATGGAATTTTAACATCACAATTGACCCATACAACAAAGATATGATCCAGGATCCATGGGTTGGATGACAATTGACATCCCTACCCAACTTGATTCACTTTACTTTTTGGTGAATTAATGTACATAAAATCTAAACGTCACACGTTTTAAATTTAAAAATTAAAAAAATATGACAGTTATGGATTCGACAAGAGTCAAACCTTCATACTCTGTATTATATTACTCATTCTGTCAAATTAAAGAGACATATTTCTAAGTAAATTTTTGCCCCAAAAAAATAGACCAATTTGAAAAAAAGATTCAATTTTTCATCATATTTGATAATTTTTAGGAAAACAAGTTGAATGCATTAAGTTTAAACCAACCGAAAGAAATTAAAATTTAGCAATATTTGATTATTTACATCAGTTGTACCATACTAAAATCAAGAGGACAATATTTTGTCCAACATCACTCTTTTTTTAAATTTTTTATAGCATAGAGGGAGTATCAGGTTTGATGTAATGCATCCAAAAAATCCCATGATCTATGCTCAAACACAAAGACTTGTATTCAACAAAGCATTACATGTTAAATACAAATATGCACCCCAGACTTCAAAAGAAGTTATGCATGACTTGTAACAATACAAACTGATACTAACAAAGATCCACTTTAGTTAGTTTAGTGAAGATCTCTATGTTAGTGGAATATATAAACAGAATCCTGCTTAAAACAACAACAACCCAGTATACAACAACAACAACAACAACCCAGTATACAACAACAACAACATACCCAGTATAGTCCCACACAGTGGGGTCTGGGGAGGGTAAGATGTACGCAGACCTTACCTCACCTTTATAGGGTAGAGAGGCTGTTTCCGATAGACCCTCGGCTAAGAAGAGCTTAGTCAAATGCAGAGATGTAAGAGAAATAAGAATCAAAAAACGAAGATATCCAACAAATAAAGTAACACAGTAATACACACATAAAGCTAGTAATCTAAGCGGTCAACACTCACACACGCAGCACAACGAAATTCAACTACCTACTAACCTTCTATCCTAACAACCCAGTATAATCCCACAAAAGTAGGGTCTCGGGAGGGTGGGTGTACGGTTGTATGCAGACCTTGCCCTGCTTGAAAGTATAGAGGCAGAACCCCTCTTAGCAGAACAGAATTATTAGCCACACAGTCTTCTGTTCTGTGCCTGCAGAACCACCTAATAAATGAGGACTCACGGGTTCACCTGATCTACTCTATTTACTATTCATAACCCTTTGGCTACCTCTATAAGAGTTGCATTCATTTGAGAGTAAAGGGATAAGAACATTTTTTACAAAAACTGTTCATATATGCACACTTGTGAAATTCCAAATGAATGAGAATGGATTGGGAGCAAGCAATTTAAGTATGATAAGGATCTTCTGTCACCTAATATTTTGTTAATGAGGCCTATAAATTTGCAGAAAAGAAACATTAACCCAGCTGATAGAAGTATGCTGCATTCACGATGCAGCACTAGCTCAATATTACCACAAATTTGAAAACTACAAAAAAGAAAAAAAACATACATATGAAAGTGATATCGTGTATGAGGATACAGCAATGAGCATTTGCAAGCTTCAAAGCAAATGCATCCAAATAAATTCAGCACAAAGTTAACAAGAAACAAACTTTTATCTGATACATCAAACAAAATGTGATTCTGTGCAATCAGACAAAACGGGACTCATTTCAGAAAGATCCAAATTTCATGTTTATGCTGAACAGATTAGCACCCCAATAATGAAGGAGCCTAAGAAAAAAATTGAATTAAAGTCCAACCTCGAGTCCTAGAGTTCCCCTGAACAACCTCTGAACATAATCGAAGACCGCTCGCCTCCTCTCTGCGGAGACAGACGTTGGCTGTACCTTCTGAATAATCTGTCTGGAAGCTTCCTCCGCCCTGACCCAACGCCACGGCTCTATATAAGACTGTCGTGGGTTCGACGTCGAAGGCGGTGATGGTGCTTCTCTCTCCTCTGCAGCGCCGCCCAAAGCCTCTTTAAGATCGCCCAAAGGCACTTTAAGATCGCCCATGAAATTTCCAAAGAAAAGAAGGTCCAAATCCCACACCAGAATCTCACGGCGACATGAGTTCTGCTCTTTTCTCTATCAGACACGGCGGGAGTGGGTTCGGAGCAAATGGTTTGTTGGTGAATCGAAAATTTAAGAACAAAGACCAAACAATGGGATATTCTCCACAATTACTCTCGTTCTTCTTTTCTCAAATATAATAAATAAAAACTAAAATGCAGATGAATTAATTTTTAGGGTTTACTGGAGAAGGAGAAGAAGGCCAGGAGCCCAGGAGGAAGAAAATCAATTTCGTAAGGAGTACCTTCAAGTCCCCAAGTAGAGGTGGACAAGCTACTATTCCGGGACTAGAGCTGGCAAATCGATCGGTCGGGTCGAATTCGGGTTCGGTCACTTCGAGTTCGGGTTATTTCAGGTTTGGGTCAATTCGGGTTCGGGTTGAGAACTATATGTTCATGACCTAGTGTCATCGGGTCGGGTTGACCCAACGGGTTATGATTTTTGTTTTTTAAATTTTTAAATTCACACTAAAACTTATATTTTGTATTAAATAAATTTAAAATATAAAAAAATATTCATTAAATCTATTAGATTATTTTATTTTAAATTTTAAAGTAATTTTTAGATATATAAATCAATATAAGAAATTTAAAAAATGATTAAATTTTAGAAAAAAATAAGATAATTATGCAATATCATTAAAATTTTGTTTGAAAATATAAATTTATATAGTCAAAATGAGTAGTAAAGTGCATGATTTTGAAAAACTCTTACTTTAGCAGGTCGGTCAGGTCGGGTTCGGTTTCGGTCGGGTTTGACCCATTTTTAGCGGGTCATTTCGGGTTCAGTCAACTTCGGGTTCGGTCATCAAAATCTTTGTTCAAAACCCAGTGTTTTCAGGTCGGGTTTCGGGTCAAAAAAAGGTCGGGTCATTTTTTGCGAGGTCTATCCGGGATGGTTCCGGTTCCGAAACCGCCTATTCTGGTACCACCATCCCTAGGTACTGTTACCGTCATTGTACCAGATGGTATCGGTTCCGATACTAGTACCGGCGGTTCTGGTACTGTACCGGCCGGTTTCGGCCACCCTCCTATTTTTAAAAAAATTTTTTTAGAAGTGTAAGTGTTAAAGGAAATAATGAATTAAAATATCTAAAAATGTAGTTGTTATTTAAATATTGAAAAATGAGTAATACACGACCAACTACATTTAATATCCTGACGATTCAAAAATGGCGACGAGGTAAAGAACTGTAAAGAAACCCTCGAATGAGCTTATATATCGCTCACCTAAAAAAACTACTTACATTAACATAAAAAAGAGTTTATAACTTATTCCTCGAAAGTAGGGCTTCCATCTGTGGTTGCATTCATGTAATGCTCAGAATTAATGTCGTACCCTAACTCTTGAGCTCGACGTCTTGCCAAGAGCCAATCTCGGTTGCAAACAAGTGTCTCAAGTGATTCAGCGCTAAGACAACTTCGGTAGACGGTTAGAATGTTGCCGCTAGAACTGAATTCTTGTTCAACAGCTACGGTTGATTCTGGGACGGATAAAACTTGTCTGGATAGCATTCCAAGACATGGGAACATGCGTTCGTTCCGTTTTCACCTTTCGAGGACGTCAAACTTGTCTGGATAGCATTATCTCTTTCTTTTGTCCATTCTATTAAATGGTTGTAGTAATAATTATTTTCATCTAAAAAAATACGTGTAGTACTACTCACTCACAATTTGAATTTTTTTATCTTAAAGCGAGGATCACAAATAATACCAATTTTATAAATACCAGGAATGTACAAATGATAAACACACCATTTATCCCTCATAGGAGAGACATAGGGGTACAACTCTGGATCAGATAAACTTTCACGAAAACATGTTACAATTGTAACACGCTCTTTAAAAAATCTATTTGTAGTGGGTTGGTAAACATGCGAGAAAGTAAGAGTTGTGTTATTAAAAACTTCTAATACGGCATTCAGTTTTTCAACAATAATAAATTAATTCAAAGTAATCATATATTGGAGTTCATTCCTAAAAATGCAGCAAGTTCCTCTTTGTAGCTTAGAATATGTGCAATCAATTTGTATATACTATTCTATCTAATGGTGATATCTTTAGCAAATGTTATTGGTCTTCTATCCTTAGATTTACAGTATAACTTCCAAGCTTTCGTATTAACACGACTACCTAAATCTTTTTAGTTTTATTTCTAATAATGGTCAACCCCTCTCCCCCCATAGCTTCTAATCCCTGTTGAACACAAAAATTTAAAACATGACTGGCACACCTTTGATGTAGAAATTTACCCATACTCGTAGTAGGGGGCAAATTTCTTTAAGTCTAGGAATATCAGCAGTATTATTAGTAGCATTATCAAAACCAAATGCAAACACTTTATTAACTAAATTGTATTCTTGGAGAATTTGCTCAAGCAATAGAAAAGTATTTTCACCAGTGTGAGATACATTGAAATTCAACAAATAGTAACACGAGAATTAAAATTGAGAAAAAAATTTGCCAAATTCATTTTTTCAACTTTATATTGTCTAATAATTTCTCTTTTAATTGTTTTTCTTGAAAAACTCTTGCTTGAGGGTTTAATGTCTTTTGAAAATAATCAATAAATCTAAGTTTTCAGAAAACATGTATGGAAAATTTTCTTCACAAATTATTTCGGCCATTTTTTGCTTATTTTGCTCGTCACTATAAGCAAAAAGGCTGCCCTTACCTGCAAACCGAGAAATTTGGGTTTGAACTTTTTGTCGTCCCTTCTTTTTCGCCGCGTATTTGGTGTACTCCACGGGGTGCCTCACCCTTAGGTGTTTTTCCGGACTACCATAACTGCCAAAAATTCCCATTTTTTGACGATTCCATAATATTTACAAGTTTCAAAAACTTCGTCATTTTTGACGATTCCATAATATTTACCTTTCCCCGGACCTTCAGAGGTCTAGGGCTAACCTGCCTCCTTGTCGGCATCGGTAGGATTGTTGCTCTCTAGTGTAGGCTCGTCGTCAATTTCTGCTTCATCAATGTCTTCGAATATATCTTCAAGAGTTTGAAGATTGGTGTCTATCCTACCTCCCATAGCGTCAGCCACGAATTGATCAGGGATAGTAGGGAAGGAAGAGACATAGTATCTTCCTTGAAAACCACGTGAGCTCGAACCGTCGGAGGTGGCTTTAGCTTTGCCTTTCCTCGAACTTCGATTCACAACGCCCATATCCACGGACCTTCTACCAGACTCTTTCGACATTTTTATATATTTTTATTTTGATAAAAAAAGGACTATATTAAATATTTAAAATATTAATTATATATTGAATATCGAAATTCTAATACTAATTTATAACAATATAATATATTAGTAATATATGAATGTATGACTAAAAATTAAATATTATATGAGTATATATTAATATATTACGGACTATATAATATATTAATATATATTTATATTATTATATGAATATAAAATGTATAAAGATTGGAGAGAGATAATAGAAATTAATAGAGAGGAAGGGACTGAGAAAAGAGAATTTAAGATTTTAGGGGGAATTGAGTATTTGAGTGTGGTATTTAAAAAATGGGAGGTTATTTATAATATGAAACCCCCCAACCCCTTCCCCTTTCCCCTCAAACGCCTATAATGCCGTTGAGGAGGCCCCCCCCCCCACTAGTTGCTGCAAATTTTGCAAAAGCAAAAAAAAAAAAGAAAAAAAATAAAATTGGTACCGGAATCGATGCCGGTACTGAAAAACTGGCCTGGAACCAGTTTCCAGGAACTGGTTTCTCGTGTCTGTTGACGGTGACGGTGGCGGTACCAGTGCCGGTAACGATATTGTACCGGTACCGTGTCCACCCCTAGTCCCAAATACTCTTTGTTTGTAATTTTCTTCTTCTCTTTTGTTTTTTTCCCCAATATTGTTATTAAGCTATGCTCTTTTGATTTGTAAAACATATGCTCCCTCCTTTCTCAAAAGCATTTCATTTTTCATTTTCTTTACCTCCAACAAAACACTTTTATTTTTTATTAAAAAACCACTTTAATTCTTACTTTTTCATACCCTACCTATCACATCATATTTTTCTCTAATAATCTATCAATCACATCTTATTTTTTTCTATCACATCAAGGGAAAAATTGGAAATCAACTAAATTTAAGAATTCCTAATTTTTACACTTGGTCAGAATTAGAACTCTTTCTCAAAATGGAGGGAGTAAAGTTTTTTTCCATGCCTTCACATTTGAAGGGGCATGGATGTCCTCCCACTAAATTAATGACACGTGAAAGAATAACTTCACCTAATCTAAATACTCCATATAAAAAACTGATCATTAATGAATGCAAATGAGATAAACTATAACTTTTTAATTGTTTTTATTTTTTATTTAGTATTTTTAATTTATTTTCTAAGTTTGATTATTAACAAATTTAAAATAAGTTAACGGCAAATAGTTTGATTGTTAAAGTCATTTTTCAAATAAATAAAGTTAATTCAAGTCATTTATTTTTTTATAAATTTTTTCAATTTATTTTCCATGGCCTAAAGAAACAAATAAAAAATCATTTCTAAAACCAAATAGTTACAAAGCTAAATAAACTTAAATATGAATTAAAAATATAAGAATTTCGGAAGGGATTGTAAAATCAGCCGATCACGTATAATTCTTTCTCTTTGTTTGTGAAATTAGGGGACTCGAGTACGGAGTAGGAAATAATGGAGAGAAAATATCTTTCCTGAAAACTATTTTCAATCACTTTTTGAAAAATATTTTCTATATCTAAGAGAAGATATTTTCTCAGAAAATATTATTTTATTACTTATGTTACCAAACAATGAGAATTTAAATTAAAACTTTCTAAGGAAATATTTTTCTCCAAACAAACGGACTCTAAAATTGTATCCAAATGTCATTACTTTAGAGTGGGGGCATCCATTCCCATTCAAATGTAAATGCATGGAAGAAAAACCCTTCAACATATAATGCGATGTCAAAAAAGAGAATAAAGAAATGGAAAAGATTAAAAGCAAATGGAAAATAATTGGAAGTAATTAGAATTAACTTGAAAAAATTAAAAAACACTTAAATGAATTGAAAGAAGTTGGATAAAACTTAATGACATTAAAAAAAGCTACAAGAAGTTTGTTAGAGATAGAAGAAGGAAGCGAACTGTTAGAGACAGAAGAAGGAAGCATGATTGAAGAAGTAAACTGAATCCCTTGTATCGGAGTCAGTTTTGAATTCTTGAGACCTCAAACATGCTTCTTCCCCTGCCGGTGGGCATACACAATTCAATGCCTACTGGCGGGATATTGTGATTTTTTATTTTTTTGATTGTCCTCCCTCATTCTTGAAGAAGTGGTCGGACAAGGGTTGTTCTACGGAGACGAACAACTCTTTCAGCGTCTACTGTTCACGATCGACTGGCATCGCGTCCATCGATCGTCGCCTGTTGTTGCTGCCGAAGTGCCGGAATGGTCGACCGTTGCTGAAGAACGGTCGAGTGGGTCGACCGTCCCAATGGCAGTTTCTCTTGATCGCGGTTACTGTTCACGATCGCCCGGCATCGCGTCCATCGATCGTTACTCAGTTTCAGTGGTTTGGAGCAGTTCCCAATTTGTACGTGTAGGAATTGCATGTGGGACCTGCTGGAGAAGCTTGCGCAGATGCGCGAATCGAGGGAGCGTTTCTTGCAAGTTTGGAGCAGTTCCCAATTTGTACGTGTAGGAATTGCACGTGGAACCTGCTGGAGAAGCTTGCGTGATACGGTATCGTATCGGGATAGGGAAAAACTTCGAGCGTTCTTCAAGCTCCAAGAGAAAAAGAGACGAGAAGAGGGAGAGAACCGCAAATCTTTGTTCGGCGGAAGAGAAGAACGAGAGATAAAGGAAGAGATTAGGGTTTAGGAAAATGATTATTCTGTTTTCCTTTGATTCTAAAGCAATACATCTCAATATATAGAGTGAAACTCTAAAAGCCTAAGGGAATCCGATCTCTAAAAGAAAACTAAATAAAATAAGAAACTAATTAATAACCTAACAAAAATAATATTCTCTAATAATAATTAAATAACCATATATAATACCTTACCTATAATGATAATAATAATAATAATAATAATAATAATAATAATAATAATAATAATAATAATAATAATAGTCCCGTAACATTGCGCAGATGCGCAAACCGATGGAACGTTATTTTTATGTCCAAGTTGTGCATGATGAACTCCCATGCTCCAGCTTGAGGGGGGTGTTAGAGATAGAAGAAGGAAGCGAGATTGAAGAAGAAAAGTGTTAGAGACAGAAGAAGGAAGCAGGATTGAAGAAGTAAACCGAATCCCTTTGGGATTAGGTTTAGTATCTTTCCTAGTTGGATTAAGTTTAGTATTTAGTATCTTTCCTACTTTGTTTAATTCTTATTTTAGTAGGAATATAAATTTCCTTGTTTACTTTACCCTCTTCCTATATAAAGAGGGTTAGATCTTTGTATTCAAAACCAGTTTTCACAAGCCAATTCAATATACAGAAATATTATCTCTCTTATTTTCTACAAAGTTAAAGGAAACTATAATAAGTTAAGAAAAATAAAAAATGTAGAAATAGATTTTATATTTTTAAAACTTCATATCTCCCTATTTATATAAACGCCTATTGTGTTAACCATAGGCTTTTTCCCGTTTATTTTATAACACCGCTTATCTACTGTGTACCCCACGTCTCTTCTTTGGCTAAGGTACTGTGTACATTCCACTAGGTTGTGGCCTATTTCAATATGATCGTGGTAACCTTTTTCATAGATCGAGTTTCTATTTTGTCTCCTTACCGACTAGGTACCCCGCTATTGATTTTTCTTTTTCTTCGTGTTCCTTGTTTTATCTCGCTTTTTGAAAAAAATTTGATTTCCTTTTCTCTGATCATGCACTAAGATAGTTGTCGATCAACTGCCCCTCTGTATCTACTTCGGCCAGGTACCGTGCTTCCTTTTTTTTTGTTTTGTACATTGTCCTGCCTAACTTTTGCTTCTTTGAAAAATTTTCCAAGTTGGTTATTTGAAATTGAATTGCATGCTATTTTTTAAAAGTTTGCAGTCTGTAAGTCTAATATCTAAAATTGGAACATCCATATTTTAGGGAATTGTGGGTTCAATTTAATTATGACGTAGAATTAAAATATACTATAATGTGTCTGAGTGGTGTCTAGTTTGATGAAAAATTATTTTCTGAGTAATTTAAAACCTTCTCCAGCAAGATCAACACCATGACTCACTCACCCAATTTGTACCGCCTAAGGCCTTCATAAAGTCAAGTGCCACCGGCATTGCTAAATCAACTCACCAAGTAATGTATTCTAACTTTATTCCTGAAACTTGTTTGATCAGTTCATTAGTTGGCATTTCTTTAATTAAGCTGATTCATTATGATTTGAACCCAATCCTGGAGTGTGTTTGTTTATCCTTTTTGGTTCACTATTAGATCAAGATATTGATCATCCACATGAAGTTAATACTCCCTCCGTCCCGGAGTATTCGTCCAGTTTTGACTTTTAGAACTGTTCATCTAAGCACTTTGACTCATCAAATTCTCTCAATATGTAAGCGTAAATATAGTCATGTGTGATCTTGTTTGATTTGTCTTAACATATAGATTATTAATATATAATTTCTATAATTTTTTAAAATACAAATTACAAGATAAAATGGATTAAAGAAGTGTATTGGATGGTGTGTAAAAATGAAAGTGGACAAATACTCTGGGACGGAGGTAGTATAATTTAAGGAACATCTGATTTAAACTAAGTTACCATATATATGAAGCTAGAATTTTTATATGTTACATATATTTTGTTATGTTATACGTACTCCATTCATTTTGGGCCAATTGGATCTATTTGGGCTAATCGGGTGCTATTGGGTTGCAATTGGGTATGCTGGATTGAGATGAGGTTAATGGGTTATTGTTGGGCCGGTATAGGTCGATTGGGGCCGGCCATCCGGGTTTTCTGCGGGGCTTCTAGGCAATGGGCAGGCACCTGGTCGGCCTGGGTTGGAGTTTTTGGGTCGCTGGTCGCTCCGACGGGTTACCAGGTTGATCCAGTGGCGATTGTACAGTTCTGGTGGGGCAGCGGGCTTGAGGATAGAGTTCTTGGTCCCAAATTCGCAATACGGGTAAGTTTATTTAATGTCACTTGAGATTTGTCTTGTTATGAGCATGATGGTAATTGGTGAGGCTAGGTTCTTCCGATAGGCCCCTGATTGCACTGTTCTGAGTATGTGAGTTGTTTTGAGCTTATTGGTGTTACTATTGAACTGTGAACTGTGTTGAGAAATAGGCCACTTAGCGGATCTGAATTGAATTGCATATCTAGAACACCAATGAGACTTGTTAGGTTCAAGCCTTGTGGAGTGTGTTCGCACATTCAGTGGCCTAAGGTTCAAAATGTACGTATGGGAGTCATTGTCCAACCTAAGGTGTAACACCCCAACCCGCGTAACCCAAACCAACGAGTTAGCGAATCGGGTTGCTACTAATTTGGTATTCACATGCATAATGTTTTTAAAACATTTAAAATAAAACAAATATTCATATTTATTTAAAAATAATTATATTCATAAGTTAATCGGAGTAAACAAAGTAAAATGTTGCGGAAGCCTTGAAAAAAATATTCAACATTCTTGTAATTTAACTAAATAAGTTCAACAAAAATATATTTAAACTAAATCCGATAGCTTCGGGCCATCCACCAACATCACGCATCACCAACAACAATATTACATCACCTAGAAATGAGTTTAGGAATTATAATTTTAGGAAAAATGATTTTAGATCACCTAGAAATTATCTGGCTCAACTTAGGCATATGCATAATCCAAACGTAGTGTTCCATTATTGTTCTAAGTTAGACACATAGCTTCTGTTTGTTTTGCTAGACATATGGACTTTTCTTATACTTATTTACCTATCCCCCAAGGACCCAAAAGTGTTTGGGTACCTAAAAATCATTTTTAGATGCATACGTAGGTGTGCTTGAAGACTACATTTTTGTAGTGGATGCTCCAAGCATGAAACCTAATGAATTGCATCAAGGGGTGTTTGGGGGAATTGTTTTTGCTATAAAAATGGTATCAGTTTCAGGGGGAACATACAGCAATGATGTTTTGTATTAAACATCAATGCCTTGGGAGTACACTTTTTAGACTTTATATAGTGCTTTTTGCTAATGCCAAAAGGGGGAAATGTTAGGTATATGCAACATGTAACACCCTCTGTCCCGAGAACCCGGTTCGTCGCGGCCCAATGAGCTAGAGGGGTTATGTAGACGGTTTTTAGGACCATCTACAGAAAACTCCTTGCCTTTCTTTTGCGAAACGGAAATCCTTGATATATATTAGATAAAGTAAAACCATTGGGGAATCTATTCCCTCAAAGACTTCTCGCGTAGACCTCCTTCTCTTCTTCTTCCTCGTCTACTCGTCGGAACCGCCTTCCTGGACTGTTGTTTGGCCGAACAAAAGAGAGAGGGGAGAGGGAGATGAGTGTGTTGAGTACTTGGGGGTTACAAAGAGTGATGAGGGAAAATGAAGGGAGAGAGGTGGTTTAAATTAAGGGGATGAATGGAGAATTAATATCTATACTTTATTTAAAAAGAGGTGAATGTTTTCCCGCCCATGCATGAGACTCATATATGGAAAGTGTTGACAACATAAATGGTAGTTTAATTATTTTTCCTTAATTTTTTCCTTCCATTTTAAGTATGTTTTCATTTTTATTTAAATGTTACCCCATTAAAGCATTTAAATTAAATTAAATTAAATTAAATTAAATAGTAGTGAACCATTGGGGAATTAAAGTATGGAAATAAAATACACTACCATTTAAATATTAAAATAAAATTAAAAAATTACAAATTAATAAAGTATGGGCGGGATTAAAATGATTTATTTCAAACATACTACAAATTAATTATTTATTACAAAAAAATATTATAATTTACAAGCACAGATGTGTAAAAATGGTAATTTTTCTAAAATAGATTAGAAAATAAATATGGTACGGTAAGTGAATGATAACATTTAAATGCAAGAATAAAATAAAAAACTATAAATTAATACTCCCTCCGTCCCAAAATATTCACAACATTTGCTTTTTCAGCAGTCGCGGGAACTTTTGTTTATTTCTACGTTTTCATTGGTTATTTGATAAAATAAAATATTCTTGACACCTCTTATTTCAAAGAACTTTTCATGTAGTATTTTGATATGTAAATTTTATTTTTTATTTTCATACCAATATGTAAATAAAATGAATTGAAAAAACTTGATATTTTACCTCGGGAATACAAGTGTGGCAAATATTTAGGGACGGAGGGAGTATTAATACTATAATTTACAAGCATGGAAACGTTTTAAAAATGTCAAGTGTTCTAATTAGAAAATTAGAAACTAAATAGGTATGGTACGATAAACAATTGGCACCATTTAAAAACGAAAATAAAATAAATGGTGAGTGTTCTAAAATAAATTAGGTAAGTGTTCTAAAATAAAAGAGAAAATAAAGTACATCTAAAAATGATAAGTGTTCTAAAATAAATTAGAAAATAATGTGGTTTGGTAAGTAATTAGTACGATTTGAATACGAAAATAAAATTAAAAAACTGAAACCCTGCTACTATCTTTACTAAGTACTGAAAATTCATATTGTTACCTCCCTATGTAGAATTATACTCAAAATGACGAACAGGACAATCCTGTTCTCAGAAATTTCACGAATCGTTTAATATTTATACTATAATTTAAAAACATGAATTTTTTTAAAAAAGGTAAGTGTTCTAATTAGAAAATTAGAAAATAAATACGGTACCGTATGTCACCACGATAGGCAAATGGTACATTTAAATACAAAAATAAAATAAATGGTAAGTGTTCTAAAATAAATTAGGTAGGTGTTCTAAATAAATTAGAAAATAAAATAAATATCAAAACAGTAAGTGTTCCAAAATATATTTGAAAATAAATACGGTACGGTAAGTAAATGATATCATTTAAATACAAAAATAAAATAGAAAACTACAAATTAATACGATCAATTAATACTACAATTTTTTTTTTGAAACAAAGCACACATTTTATTCACAACAGACAATATCACTACAAGTTCTACATCACCCACTACTACTACATCTAGCAACACAAGCAACAGCAATCCAAAAACACCTAGCACACCATTACACTGCCTTTACTACCAATACACATGCTTAATACAATTAAAAGTATACTCCTCATTAACCCATTTCCCGCTGTGAATCTTTTCATTCCTAGCCTTTCAAATGTAGTAGCAACACGCTTTGATACTTGCCGCGAGGATCCCCTTTTGTGTTCTACTTCTTCCCAGCTCCACCTTCCTGCCCAAATCCTCAATTGAGTCAGCATGTATGTCCACTTTAAGCCATCCTGATACCCTCCCATGGACAGTATTGGCATAGATACAAGAGCAAAATAAATGATCTGCAGATTCCTCCTCTTTGTTACACATCACACATGTAGTATCAATAAGGAGGAATTTTTTAAGCCTGTCCTTAGTTTGAATTCTTCCTTTCCAAATGAGCCAAGCAATAAATTGGTGCTTGGGTAGGGACCATCTACTCCATACCATTCCAGCCCAGGCCACTCTCTCTTTGGCTCCTTTAAGCCATTCATACCCATCCAACACTGTATATCCATTGGATGTATTCATCCCTTCAAACATTTTCCTATTGTTGATCAGTTTCTTCCAATAATAACAATCATCACTTTTGACCTTGTACCCCCAGATTGATTCCTTCTTTAGATATTTACTATGGACCCATCTTACCCACAATGAATCTTTTTTATTAGCGATATCCCATAAGAGTTTCATAGTGCAGGCCTGGTTCCACATTAACATATTCTTCAGCCCTAATCCCCCTTCTTGTTTAGGAAGACAGACATCATCCCATTTAATCAAAGGGCTTCTTTTGTGTACTGGGCCAGAACTCCAAAGGAAATTTCTACAAAGTGCCATTATTTTCCTCATGACTGAGTTAGGCAGCAGGAAAATTCTACTCCAGAAATCAGCTATTCCATTTAGAACAGAATTAATCAGTTTGACTCTTCCAGCATAAGACAGATGTTTAGTGGCCCAAGAAGTTATTTTCATAGTCATATTTTCAACAAGTTTATCACATTCTTTTTCACTAATACGTGAATCAGACACTGGGGCTCCCAAATATCTAAAGGGAAATGAGCCTCTGCTCATTTTTGTTTTCTGAAAGACAGTATCCAGCACTTTCCCAGTAACCCCACCAACATACACCTGAGATTTCTCATAGTTTAGTTGCAAACCTGTAGCTTGTTTGAAATGATCTAGGGCTTCTAGTACACAATCAACAGATTGGATATCTCCCCTGCAAGCCACTATGAGGTCATCTGCAAAGACAATATTAGTTATTTGTAGAGCCTTACATCTTGGATGAAATTTAAATGTACCCTTCTTTGAATGATAGCTGAGTGTTCTGGTGAGGTACTCCATAATAAGGGTGAACAACAAAGGAGACACGGGGTCTCCTTGTCTTATCCCCTTTCCTCCCTTGAAGAATCCAAACACCTCTCCATCAAGTTGTATTGAATATGCCACACTTGTAACACAGAATTTAACCCAATCTATAAACTTATTAGGGAATTGCAGGGCTTCCATAATCTGAAATAAGCTCTTCCAACTTACAGAATCATAGGCTTTTCTAAGGTCTAATTTCATAAGGCATCTTGGGCTGATACCTTTCCTGTTGTACCCTCTTGCTAACTCCTGGCAGAGAAGCACATTATGCACCAATTCCATGCCTTCAATAAATGCACCCTGGTTATCATTAATAATAATACTACAATTTACCAGCATGGAAACATGTAAAAATGGTAAGTGTTATAAAATAAATTAAAAAATAAATATGGTACATTAAGTAAATGGTACCATTTAAATGCAAAAATAAAAAAAATAAATTAATACTATTAATACTATAAGCATGGAAACATGTAACAATGGTATAAGTACTCTAAAATTAATACTATTAATACTATAATTTACAAGCATGGATACGTGTAAAAATGGTAAGTGATCTAAAATAAAATAGAAAATAAATACCATAGGGTAAATTAATGGTACCACTTAAATACAAAAATAAAATTAAAAAAATACAAATTCTAAAATAAATACATTAATATGTTGGATTTTTACTTAGATAAGTCAAATTATTGAATTATTGTCAGGGACAATATCTGAAACATGTTTAATTATTGTTACGGAAACCGGTATT